AAAAATTTTTTTTTTCCTTTTTAAAATTTTCATCCAATGAATTCCATAATATTGCACCAGCAAATTGGTTTTTACAGGTGGGAGAGTATAATATTCTTTACTAGAAAATCTCATGTTGTATTTATAAATAGTTTAGTACTTGCACGAATAAAATATGATTTAAATACATCAGGGAGATTGTTATGATAGTCATACATGAAAATACCAGTTTGGAACTTCACAAGGTCTTTAACCTTTAAGATGTTTAGATCAAGAAATAATGGATTTGTATGTGCTCTGTWGTCAATAAAAGTTATCAAACGGATGACTTTCTTTTGAAGATTGAAAATGGGATGCGGGGTGGTATCGTACGTTTTTGATACGTTTTATCTTTCCGAGAGCTTTTCAAGCCCTCTCAAGATTTTTAAATTCAAGGACTTAAGGACTTCAAGAACCAGCGCGATCCTTGTGCGTTGTATATAAAACTAACGGTTTGATATTCTAAATCTTTTTTCGATAATTTTTTTAGCACTAAATGGACGCAATGCAGTCGGTCACAGTGAAAATTTTCAAGTATTTTCTTTTCTCTCTTGTCAAAACGAATCTTTCCACGAATGAGTCTTATTTTCTTTATTTTCGAGCTAAAGGAGTTGTTTAACGAGCCGAAAACCTGGAACTAGGAAAAATAGACCTTTTTGGAGTTCCAATTACCGCCGGGGCGTAGCAAGGTCTCGATTATAGGAAGGGGGAGGGGTTAGGCAATGTGTCATTTTCTCCACAGGAATCCCGCATGAATTAACTACAATTTGGCGTCGAAAGCAAACTTTTGGGATTGTACGAATATTTTGGGTACATACCCGTTTGTAGTGTTCACCTAACCCTCTTCTCGTCAGCATGCTCACTAAGCCTGATACATCGTTGTTGGAATGTTTCTCGTAACGCAAGGCGTACAGCAAAACTAGCCGCAGTAGATCAAGATCTGTTACATTCTCATTGGCCATCACACGACGGATATTCTGTATGTTAAATATGATATTCAAAATCATAATGAATAGGGAACGAACCTAGGAGAAGATCGTGGTTATCACAGATATATTAACCCACCCTCTTTTCCAAATAATTTGCAATGACAATAACCGATAAATCAAAATCAAAGGAGTGTGGAACAAATCTACTTAGGCGTAATGTTATGCAATTTTCAGACCGCGTGCTACTCTCTTAAGAATAGTGCTAAGTGTGACGTAATTAGAACGAAAAACTACTTCCGGGTCCAAATTAATAATTACTTCTACAGACATTTTTCTGTTTTTTTTTTGTTCATATATCTAATTGTTGAAGGTAGATAATAAATCCTGGGAATGAGTTGTTGCAAGATTTTAGCGATCTTCTTTTGTGATTGGACCCGGAAATACGTCACAACTTAAAAGCTCTATAAGATTCGGGATTTTGTCAGGGATTGATTACCTGTAAGGCAGAAGAGTGATCATTTTGACAGGCGAGTTCTTGTTCCACTTCAGATACATCAAGTAATGCTCGCTCACCGACAATGCGTGACAGYTCACTGACCATAGTCACATGTTTAGACACTGTACCTGACATCTTCTTGAACTGGGGGTAATTCTCCACAAACGCCTTGAGTGGTTATAAAAATTTTAGACTTAGACTAGATAGCGGTGCAAAAAAGGAGTGAGGGAGGGGAGGGKAGGGTAGGAAAYATTGTCATCTTGTAACCTTAATATCAAGTGTCATAATTAATACCTTCATATCAGATATGGATTCTAGTTTCTGGTTKGACTTGACGTGGTGTTGAAAGTCATCCATCAATGTTTTGATATTCTGACCAATCTCTCCGAAATTGAGATAAAGATTCTGCATAAAATCCAAATATGCCATAATGAAATCAAACATTAGAACATGTCAAACAAATGTGGAGTACCGGGTGGAGTACAGGGTGGAGTACAGGGTAGAGTACAGGGTAGAGTACAGGGTGGAGTACAGGGTGGAGTACAGGGTGGAGTACAGTGTGGAGTACAGGGTGGAGTACAGGGTAGAGTACAGGGTAGAGTACAGGGTGGAGTACTGGTTGGAGTACAGGGTGGAGTTCAGGGTGGAGTACAGGGTGGAGTACAGGGTGGAGTACAGGGTGGAGTACAGTTTGGAGTACAGGGAGGAGTACCGGGTGGAGTACAGTTTGTAGTACAGGGTGGAGTACCACATGGAGTACAGGGTGGAGTACCACGTGGAGTACCGAGTGGAGTACAGGGTGGAGTACGGGATGGAGTACAGGGTGGAGTGCCGGGTGCAGTACAGGGTGGAGTACAGGGTGCAGTACAGGGTGGAGTACAGGGTGGAGTACCAGGTGGAGTACAGGGTGGAGTACAGGKTGGAGTACCAGGTAGAGTACAGGGTTGATTACYGGGTGGAGTACAGGGTGAAGTACAGGATGGAGTACAGGGTGGAGTACAGGGAGCAGTACAGGATGGAGTACAGGGTGGAGTACAGGGTGGAGTACAGGGTGGAGTACAGGGTGGAGTA